TTCTGCAAGTTGACTATCAATAGTCCAACCAAAGAGCGCTTTGAAGATTCCATTCTCTCTGGAATCAGCCATCAGGTGAGAGCGATGTCAATCTGTGACAAAGTCCGAAGTTTGAATGCTAGAGCTCATGAACCGCATGATACTGCCGACAGAAGTGCCACATCAGCAGTCGCCTTTTAGAATCACAATACGTTTAGACGGCGCGTTAGAACAGGCAACGGAAGGTTGTACGATCTACCCGACGTTATTTTTTGGTGAATTTAATGTAGGCTCCAGTTCAGTAGACATTCAACTTCTTATTGAGGCATGATGGGAAATACGCATGCAAATAGCTCTCAGGACTGATATTTTGAAACAGCTCAGTCTATATGGTACACAAAGTCAACTTGTAGTGGATATTGATAATTGAATGTTCACGACGAACCGATCAAATTTACTAGGATTCTAGAATGTAGATGCTAAGTGGGACAGCTGGATAAACAGTAAATTCAATCTTACTTTGGTACTGCAACAGATGAAACTTCATCGTTATTGGTTAGGAGCTGTAATGGAAATCACCCGTCCATGTACACACACTTTCTGAGGAAGGCTTAGTTCAACCGACACGCCTCCCCTTGTGTTGCTCGCTTCCAGCAGACTATTGACTTTCGTCAAGAGGTGACGTGACATTCATTATTATAGCTTATAGGCTTTTAGCCTCCCTACCCTGTTAAGTACATCCAGTTCTGATACAACAGAACAGAAAGAGGATATACAACTATACAAGGTGTATAGTTGATAGCAGATACAAAAGAGTGTGTGGTCCACACAATCTGTGAAATGAGACCTGGCACCTCCCACTCAAAAGTGGATTTACCGAAATTCTTAAAGTTTTCTACAGCATGTCTTCAAATTCGTATTCCGCTCTTCGTCACGCTGTGTCCTAAAGTTCCAGCCCACACGCTCGCTCCACATGAGATCTTTGTCATTGTCCTAATACCACGTCATTTAGCACATTTGCGCTGTCGTGGAATTAATAGTCACGACGACTTTTACGAAAGGCGTGGTGGCTCCGCCCTAGAGTTCGACGAACTCTTTTGTCGGATATGTGTTCGACTGATGACTCGAGTCGCGTAATTTTGCGCCGTTGGACCGATCACTCTTGCAGGAGACGAACCACGAAGCCTCGCATATGTTCCATACGTCCAGCAATCCAATCTGGATGCCATCCAGACAATCGACACTCGATTCTAGGCATGAGTCCATGCGAACAAATCCGTGGACATCCACTGTTTACAAAGCACAAGCATCGCTGCTGACTCGTTGAAGGTACGCGATATGCGCTTTCGATTTGCGCATTTGGCAGCGCAGAATCGAGTTCACTCTGATATCGAGGATGCTCGTGAAGTGCACGGTCATCAGTCGGCTTCACGACGGAAAGACCAGAGGAAGAGGAGAAAACGACAGCTTCCATAAGCGGAATCCGTCTTCGGACTCGCATCAAACGCGCGAACGATACTAGGACAGTCGCGACGAATACGAGTACGAGACTTCCAGGTATTCTTGCTCGCTGGATACCCCAGCCATGTCACCAAGGGCTCCTTCCGACCACGGAATAAATAATTCGACGAGTTCAGAAAGACGACTTATATCTAAATTTTTTAATTTTAAACAAATTTAATCAATATCATTTTTACTTAATTAATCGTTCCTCTCCGCCACCTTCTCTCGACGTGGTAGTATCGATTTCCTTGTCGATCAAGAAGAGGCGAAGCAGGCGTCTTCTCTGCTTCTTCTGTGGCTGGTCTGCAGTCTTCGTCCGCCTGGGAATTGCGTTTGACGAATTGGACAATATTCTTTCGCTGATAAACCAGCGGCCGATCGAGGTGACCGATCGAGTGTCGTCGACGCGACAACGCGTAAAGGAAAATCGACAGGTCGTTCGCAAAGCTCGCGGCTTCGGATGGCGTCATAAAAACTCGCCTGGGAATGTAATGGAGAATCGGATTTATCGATTGGAGCAGTCCCTGCAAGCTCTCCCACTTGCTGCGGCAGTTTCCGCTGACGATGCGAATCCTCTTGCCAGCGATCTCGTTCTGCTTCCGGCGTTCCTGATTATCCCCGTCATTCCGAGGGCGATGCTGAGGCGACGACGCCAATGGGTTCAACCTTCCATCCTCGTGGCTTTGAAGCCACCTTCAAATAAGACTGCGTTTCATCCGGGTTGGAAATCGCGTCGCGATGTAAAGGCTTGAGGAACCGTATGTAGAACGTCGGATGGGACCTTGGCCAGGTGTCTCACACACTTGTGATCACATTCACGCGACTCGTGATATTTGAGTCCAGGGTTTGTTTGTACATGCGCTTTGCATTTGCATCATTGATTGTATCAATTCGGGAGGCAACGATAAGCCAAACCCCTCCTTTCTCTTACGTCAGAGACACCTTCCGTCACTCAAGAATTACTGCCGACAATCAAACAGCCAGATATAATATGTCGAATTCAAGCTTTGATACATGGAAGGTAAGAAGTTTGTCTTTGAACGTTTCCTTTTGCTCATTTGCTATAGACCTGAGCTCTGTTCATGAAGCTATTTTCCTTATCTAATTTATTTGCCTGATTCCAAAAGACGATTGTGACGACCTTGGAAGAATCAGGCGTATAAGTCTCCCAGAAAGTCCAAACTTAACTCATCGAATCATTAATCTAGGTCAATTCGGCTGTGCTGCCTAAATTTATGACCAAACAAAAGCGTGAAGCGACAAAGTTAATGCGGATTACAAACTTTTTTTATACACGATTGAGCATAGATATACGTGAGTGAATTTACTTCAGCTAAAAATCTCTGACTTCATGATTTCTAATTATGTCCTGAAAGACTTGGTGTCACCAAGCCATGCAGTAACTTAAATATTTTTAAGTTTTATAATATCTGAGATTGAGTTGAGACTCCATAATACTTAGGGCTGCAACACATTCAACAATGACAGTAACTGATAAGGTGCTGAAACCAGAGGCGGTACTTTATCCCTTTTTTGTTTTGCAAGAAATAAAATATAGCCGTGCGTCTTTCAGTGATGCGCCTTCATTTTTTCCGCTTTCGTTTTGAAGCTACTCGCTTTCTTCTATATTCGCGTGCCTTCCACTATTTTGTGACCCATTCCCTTCAGCATTGCGCGCGTCTAATATATTTCTTAGCTGAGTACATATACTCACCTTCTGCGTAGCTCAGTGCGATGTACCCTGGTACCTAGACTTGAATTCAATCGGATCATTACCTATATAGATCAAAACACCCTGATACTGAGCATCTGTCATCAATGTTACTACCCCAATCTGCATCCAAAGAAGCGTCGATCACCACCTTTCCAGTTTCACCTTAGATGATTCCATGATGACTAGTAGACTTAAAATGGCATTGTACACGAATTGCGGCGTTCCAATGTTGTAACCCGGGATTTTTGATTAAACAAGACAGATGTGGGACGACAAATGCGATATCCAGATAGTGCACGTTAGAATTAAAAGTAGACAGCCAGTTAGAGAGCGGTATGGCCCGTGTCTCTCTATGTTTGTGCGGTTCATCTGGTGTGCTATTTCATTTTCTCGGGGGCTAAAAGGTACCGTTCGTTGGAGCTCGATCCCGTTTTGCTAATTTAAATTGGTAACCTTCTTGTTGAAGAACTCTGTTCCGATATTCGAGCGATAGCTCTTGATGCGAGCTCTCCATTGGCTTTCGAGCGATGCTTTAGACATTTTAATCTATTCAGAGCTTTAATATTCTTTGCCAAAAAATATGCCACCACATATCGCGAGTAATCATCCAAAATCATCAGAATATATCTGACCCCTCCCTTCGGAAACGCTATGATGGGTCCCAATACGTCCATGTGTACTAGTCTCAATACGCACGACAGCTTCATTTCAGAGCGTCTTGGAAATGCTTCAATTGTCTGCTTGCTCTCATGCAGCCACCACACAAGGTCTTCAAGGCATTTTTCGGTGCAGGCATACCATTTGTGGAGAGAAAAGTTTTCTTTAAAAACAACCTCGCTTGGTACCCCATGCAAGCGTGTCATAGCTCCCAATGACCTTCAGCTTCCAAGTATGGCACCTACCGTCTCCTCGTTTGCTGACAGTCTAGCGTGTAAGTTTATCGTTTCCTGTTCCTGTAACCATAGCACAGCCCTTGTCCCAAACGGTACATGAGCACGCTTTACATCTACTCTTCGGCAAGCTTTTCCCACTGATATTTAACGTTTGTCGAGTACGGGGATAAGTAGCACCTCCATCTTGAATATGCATCTTTCGTCTAATCTAATGGGTTTCACCGTTCCGGTTTCTTCAACGCTTAATTTTCTACAGTCTGCAATCGGTTACCTCGATGCAATCTTTTTAAAAGCTTGTAATCAAACAAGTCGATTCGGTGAGGGGTCATGTGCGATGTCGTGCGATGTCGCGCCACTGTCAATTAACCAACCAGTTAATTGATCCGCACTCACAGAGACTACTGCATCGCTTCCGCTAAAACCGTTTCTGAAATTTCTCTCAGCAAGGCACTCCCGTTTAACGTAATTCATCCGATCACAGTTGAAGCGCTTTACCTTAACACGACCGTCCTTTTGTTGTACGTAGTATTTGCGACCGCTTCCCCGTCTGCCCTTAACCCACCTGTTATTTCAGTAGCGCGAGAGGCTTTCTTAGTGGCCCACTCCTTCTGCAGCTTCTCCAACTCCTTTAACAGCTTTCCCTTGAACTTGATCAGCATCAGGTCGTTGATGTTCTCCACGATAGAAAAATCGGCTCATACTCCGACAGCGGGCTGCTCAGAAGTACCGTCAGCTGAGTGAATTCATCCAGTGGTTGTACAGTCATCTAAAGTATCACGACCAATTCGTCAAATGCGTTCAGATATCCCGTCATGCGAGTGCCATTCTCCACCTTGAACTCATGGAGGCGTCGTGTCATCGCGACACTGTTGCGCGAAGTAAGTAGGAATTGTGAAGCGTTCCCCATACAGTCGAGGGACTTTTGCGTCCCAAACGCTAACCAAAATAACAACCAAGTATCATCGACAAACGTTCGGGAAAGGGTGATACCTTAACTCTTAAATCGCTTGACAAACGACTTTGTGGGGGCTTAATAAGCGCGTGGCGAGATGGTAGAGTATCTTCAGCATACGTCAGCGTCAAGCTCCAATGACAAACGATTTTTCCGATAAATATGAAACATATACAATGTACAATCATGAGCTGAATAAATTTTCTTCGGTGCTTAAATAGATACAATAAAGCATTATTTCTTATGGTGGATTTTCATGTTGCTCTTCGACAATAAAAGATGCTGATTTTTATTTTACAGCTTTTCAATTCGACTATTCAGCTCATCTTGGAAATGCGATAGCAAGGAGAAGTGCTAAGCCTAAGCGTCGTGATCAAATGAGCACTGCAGATACTTCAATCAAAGCTTTATACAGATTTTGCTGACTAGGAATCGACGCTTCTGCCGTAGATGACGAGCCACAGTGTGTTGTAAGCAGCTAGATGCATCAATTAAGGCAAAAAAGATCAGACAGTAAACTGTCAGCCTTGACGGCATTTGCTCAACACGAAGCCACAACATACGTTGCATTCTCATGAGCAAGGATAAGAGGCCGGTCGTGACTTTTGCGATCGATTACTATCGTGCTGTCAATGTGCATGGGGTTCACTTCCGCGACGTCAATGGTTTCAAAACAAGGTACATCAAGCCAGCTGTCAAAGTAATGGCTACTATCAACTCTCTTATCTCCAGCTTATTCGATCCAGCGCTGCAGCGCGTTTCGGCCGCCAAAGTACCTCGACATTTCATCAATGTCTTGCCACCTCGTTTTTTTGCAGCCAAAAGTGGCGATACTGGCATCTTTCGACCTTAGTATTGCGAGCACTCGACAGGTACTCAAGGAAGGCAGCTTGCAAAACTGTGACGTGGTTCCTTTCCGACATACCACCCTCGTACTCCCGTCAATTTACACAGACGGTCGTCGACATCATCTTAATCCTATTTCGGAACCTGTGACTGCTCAGCAACCCAAAGTAGTGCTCCGGTCGATGGATTTGCGTTTTAGCCACTGCCATTCACTATATGGGAACTAATTGTTGAAGAGATATTGATCAGTTCAATCCTGCTGTTTGGTTTGACTTCACCACAAATATTTTCGGTTTTGGAACAACGCTTGTGATCTTGAATTTGGATCTTTTTCTCATCATTGTGGCTCTCTAAATACGACAAACGAGCATCGCGTTTGCACTGATAGTAGCGCTTCCGTATTGCTATATTACTATCTTTGTAGTTTTTACAAGCGATCAGCAAATACTTGATGATAATATTTCATCTTTCTTCTTCCTCAGTTTCATCTGTGGCCCTGTGAGGGTTAATGTTGTTATCGAGATTGGCGCGGAGCTTCTCAGGAGAAAATAGCAGCGAAGTATGGTCGGTCATTTCGTGATGCTGATCTTCAGCAGCACAAGCCTGTCGATTAATATTCGTATCGCTAGATTTGATACGGTGACTGGTCATTCGCTTCCTCGACAATGTTGTCAAGCTTCGATATGCAGCTTTGCAAAAATGATAGAACTGCCTCAAACGCAATGCAAGCACCAGTCAAGTGACACACGGTACGCGAAATATGAGCTATTAAACATCCTATTTTGTCAGTTAGATTCCGTCCGTAGGCAAAAATATTGATTGCAATGACAAACAATAGAATAAGTAAGTAGTGTTGAGCGTTGATGACCCACCGTATGTATCCTGCTTTACACAAAAATATTAGCAACAACATGTTTAAATAATTTTGGACAGACTTCCGTACGCTTAAATTTCATGGCTCTGAAATGAGTTGCACCAATGTCAACGACAACATGAGCCGAAACCACCGTAAACTTGACCTTTACCCGGTTGTTAATTAACGCCAAAGCACATGATATTCTTGATCCACAGTGTGTGTGGTCTATCTACACGCAGCCTTGGGGGTATTCACGTCCATCAAGCGCTACAGAAGCCGCGTCAGCCTCATTCCACGCGCTGCCTTCGTCCTGGCTAGGAAGAGCTACAAGTTGCCTGTTTAGCACTTAAACGTGTCAAAATTCTTCGCCTTATTCGCGTCCTCCAAGTCTCGCACCAACTGACTCGCTTCAATCTCCGTAGGACCGCCTTACCCGTTGCACCAACAAACGCATACACGCTTTTATTCTTTTTTACTCAAGCCGACAACTTTTGGAATGAGGAAGAGGCGACCTAGCTATGCGAGCAAGATATTGTCATAAGATTTGAAAACAATAATGACGTTCGAAACTAACCTTAAATACATACAAGTCTGTTTTGTTGCTTTCATCAATATCGTGTGACGGATAAGCATGAAACTTATCTGTTTCGAGTAGCATACTCTGCAGCGGGGCTGCCGTAGCTCTATTGCTTAGATGATGATTGGTTCAGGTCGGTAACCTTTGCTCCATACTGAGAACCAGTACGAGTGTAGCGGATCGTAACTCGCTTACTCCGAGAGAGACGACAATCTTAACCCAAGGCCAATCAACTATTCCGTTTGAAATGCAAACTGTATTTTTCGTTTGTTACGGCAGAGACGCCTATTTCCAAATTTATTGGTTTTTCTATCTATACAGTCAATCCTAATTATATGTATGATAACTGGCTGTTCCAGCCACGTACTGACTTGTTGTTTTAGTGTATCCGCACCATTGTGTGGTCAAAACATCGTAATGGCGTGATCCACACCACTGTGTGATCACACCATCTTGTGCAGCCCACACCCTTTATACCAGGACACGTAAAATTTCGTTACACTCTCCCCATCAAGATTTTAAGCGCTTAAAGTTTACTTTTAACCTCCGCTCGAACGAAGCTTGCTTGTCTAAGAGAACACAACAACAGGACAGTCTCCACCAGCTCTCTGTTCATTGATCCCTGTGTCGAGGACACGGACAATCTCCAGCTTCGCTATTTCCAAAAACGCCCGCGAGCAGAGCCCATCTTATTCTCCTGCACACGGTGTAATTTCGCCGCGGCTTCAAGGGAAGCGCAGCCCAAACTTGTGTTAACAGAGTACCGCGTAGCGCATTGCTAGCGACAGGGTTGTACGACCTAGGACACAGACGCGATGAGTACTGCCGACAAGTCGTTGAAGATTTGGAGAAAGTTGACTACGAGTCGGATACTCCTTTATAGAATGAAGAAGAAGGCGAGGTGCCGCAGCGGCGCGATGTGAGTCGTGCTCGAACCTTGCAGACGCCGTGTCCGTTCACCGAGCACTTGACTTCCGGGTGAAGTGGCGTCATTATCAATCACTTCGATGAGGCTCAGCAGCAGCTGGATAATGTCCGCAAGGTGGCCGCAATGCGCGCGCATCCTCGGTCGGTCCTTGACCCTCGTGCGGAGAACGATGCCCGCCCGGTGGATCCCGCTACAGATGCGAAGGACGCGATCACTCGATCGTTGGGCGTCTAAGCGGTCGTGCCCCGGGCCACTATTCATACCGAGCTTGACGAACGAAAAGCTCTCAGATCCCCTTCTTGGTTTCATAAAAGATCTCGATAGATACGTACCGCACTTGATTTTGTGCTCAAATAGGAAACACTCATGTACCCGCGATGCGGACGGTTTCTGTGATGCTCGCCCCTGGCGAAACCGCTGCAGATGACGAAGAACGCTTTGAGCAATGGGTGTAGCGGAACCGGAAACTTTCCTCGCTGCACAACTTACAGCTGAGCCACAGCGAAGAAGACGCGCGTGTGGAACATCTTCTTCAGTTTGAGTTTGCCAAATCCAAGGCGCGTCGACGATTTAATTCCTATTGTCGCCCTGCGACGAATGGGTTGATCCACCACGCCCCCGTGAGCTTTGTGGTTTCTCACATGGGTGAGTCTGCGACCGCGACAGCTCATGGCCATAGTTTGAGTTCAGCTCATGACCCATCGGTTTCCCTGGCTATTGTAGAAAAGGAGTGTTTTTTAAAACCGTGCCAAGATCCTTCATCTTAAAGGTATTTTTTCATCCCCTTCAATTTAAACATTTCTCCACCCGTCTAGGCTGCAATGATCTATTCATCGACAAACATACTTACGTGCACCAACCCAGTTTCTTTACATGAGCGCAGTGATCCGCTTGACAGCTTTTGACACTGTTCTTTTTGAAGACATAATCAATCGTCTTGATTTACGCCTTGCAGACTGCTGAACTTCATATATAGCCATGTTCGACTGACACGCGAAACCTTCAGCTTCCTTGACACCTGGCGTAATGTCCATGTAAGTACGGTCCGAGATCACACTATCAAAAAGTGTCGACGTCCAGCTGTTCCATTTTGTAGCCAGATACCGCACAAACTACCGGTACAGCTCAAAACGAGAAGCTTTAGTCACAGGAGTAAGTGTTGAAATGTCCCAGTATTTTTGTTTAAAAGCGGTGCCACCAATCAGGCCTTGTAATGCAACGCATTGCCATTCTGGTTCCGTTTCGTAGCAAAGATCCAGCGGCCCTCGATCGTACGCTCAGTAGATCCCCAACGAACGAGTGTCCATGTCTTGTTTTGGTGATGAGAGCAAAATTTGGCATTTTTTGCCTTGCGGTAATGTTTCGCCTCGTCGCTAGCCATTGCTTGCGCATATGCGGCAGGCAAGTCTGATATTTCACCAAACTTACAGTGTAAGCGAGAACTGCTTCGGTTATAAGGCTATCTTGTCAATCTTTACACGCGTTGGGGAAAGTGGGCCGTCACTTTCTTTCATGCTTGTTTCGTCATCTTATTTGCTCTCCAGCGTCAACATATGTCCTTTCACAAGCTTTTGGCGCTCAATTTGAGAGTGAAATACCAATTGGTTTACCAATCGATCTTCCTGCACATCTTATACTGTAGCTGTGTACTCTGTTATCTTGAGCCGCAGAGAATGCGGTAATTAGAGCACCTCAAATCTTCCGTGTGTCATGTCCGGGCCCTCCTTTCCCAGTTCAGCGTCTGAAACTTTATCTCTTTCTTCACATTTCATAGGCTTATCTAATCTTGCTTGCGTTTTGTCGGACCGGTTGCTGCGCCTGCATCGTCGGTCTTTTCCACGTGTTTCAATGCTCTTATTCGTAAGGTCTGGCTCATAAATGCCGCCCACCTCTAAGCTCACCCAATTTCTCTGACCGTGAAACCGTCACCGTGTTGATTTCCAAGTCGTAGGAGCGATATCCCTTGGTGTCTTCGGCATACCGAAAGTACATGCATTTGAAGCGCTTAACATCGAGTTTTATTCTGTTCGCAACATCAACGTGTGCATAACCGTGGGATCCAGATACATTAAGATAATTCATTCGAGGTTTCACTTCAGACCCCAGCTCGTAC